ATTATGGTTCAAATCAGCCCCTTTGCGTTTTGTTGGCATTGAAATATGTGCAAAACACACGTACATAGGTTAGGTTAGGTGAGCAAAATTAGCCAAATCGGCCCAGCCGTTCTTAATTGTTATTGGCACGCGGGTGCCACGGAAACCAATAATAAAAAATAACCATATAGAGTGTATATTATCTCTCCATGGCAAAATAATAATTGTTGAATATCGTGCGTGCTAGTATACTTTGACTTAAGAGGCCATAACTCCGGAACCACTTATCGCAGAGCATACAAACTTAGATAGTAGCCGATTCTCAGACCTACTGAATATGAATATAAAATTTCATGAGAATCGATCAAGCCGTCTCGGAGGAGTATGGGAACGAACATTGTGACACGATAATTTTATATATAAGATAAATAAGTACAAATTATTTAACAATGTTGAAAGTACAGGAAACTGTTTTCTTTGTTGATCATACATTGTTTTACTTACGGATTTAATGTCATGGTGTCTTATTAATGATGAATCTGGAGTTTGGAGTAACTCTGTTCGAATAATTTTGATAGGTTTACTGATAGGAAACTGATTCCTCTTCTCGTCTGTTGGTGCAATTTTTGTCAGAAGAGCATTACCACTTTAAAAGTTGATCGCATTTATGAATACTGACAAATGTATGTTTATATCCATTACTGCTAATTCTTTATTTTTCTTCCATACATTAATTCAAATTTTTCGAATTATTCATTTTAATTTATAAGCTCGCATGGAACATAATTTTTAAAAAGTAAAACAAAAAATATTGCAGTATACGTATTCGACGTAATCGTATGGGTAACACAATGAGTCCAGAAAAAATGTACATTGTAGAGTGTAGATTATAATCTGTACTGTAGATAAACTAGAATTTAGGTTAGAACCAAAATAATATTTTTAAAATTTAATTGACAACGTCAAAAATTAATTTTGTGCGGAATCGTGGTGTGAAAAGGTATATGTGGAATCGTGTTGTGCGGAATCGTGAATCGCTGGTCGCCATTAGGTAAATCAAGTACGCGCTACGGTTTTACTATAATCATTCAAATTAGGTACGTATAGTAATAATATTGTAGTATCGCGTGGGACTATATTATTTTATCATCAAGTTTATAAGTTTTTGATAAAAATAAAATAATATTTAGCGATTGTGTGTGATTATAATGTAAGAGACCATCGTGATCCGTGTGTGGTAAATAAACCGACTTGGACGCCGTGTTTTGGGGCTTGTCGGTGCCAAGTTTCAAACAAATTTTAATCCAATTGCAAAATATACCAGTGGGAAAAGGAGAAATTGAAAAACAAAAAACAAACACCTACAAAGGACTATTGTTAAAAAAAATCCCAAAATCGAATACAATCGTTGTTAGAATAATAATAATTATATTAAAAAGATCGTAAAACTATTATAAAAAACATACTTCACACTATGGGTGGGTTACTGTTGTAGAGAAAGAAGTTGGGAAGGTAGAAGAGAAGTTTAATGTATATTTGTATACAAAGTTTAATCATTGATAACGAAAAACTATTCTGAGTGGAATTTGGTTGTATATTTTTTGAAAACCTGTAATTTCGATTTGATCATAATACATTTCGTTTATTTTCCCGTTTTTCTCATTTATTAGGAAAACTCTTGAGAAAATCAAAAATTTACCATTCTAAAGTACCTCCTCAATTAGATTTCATTTCAGAAGGCCATATTTGAATATTAGAGCAAAAATTATGGTAGGAGAGCTGTTCTCAGGGAAAAATGAAACATTATTGTAAACCTAATACATTTCTCGTTCCGTTTAGAATCTAAAATCGAATGTTAAAAAATAGATAAAAGTACAAAAAAAAAAAACAGTATTATTGAAAATCACACCGAACTATGCATTCGAGTACACATATATTATAATTATGAGTGTTATTATTTTTATTTTTATTTAAAATTTAAAACCTTCATAATCCAATAAATAAAATTTGTCCCTCTGTTTGGTTTTATAACGTTCATTATATTTCATTTCATTAACCGAACCCTGGTGGTAAATAATAGCACTGAAAATGTATAAAACGCTGCATAATGTGATTTATGTTCGATAATACTTTTCTCCGAAATTTTAAAGTCAATAAATTCCTAAATAAATCCCACCAATAAAATATCGTGTTTATTTTCATTTGATCATTAGTTTGTTTTTCGTTATTTTGTGTAGTTTCGTTGCAATCAAAACATTGGTACTCACAAATAAATACTGAGTACTGCAAATCTCACTAAATAAAAAGTTTAAATATATGTTTTTTTTTATATAGCATTTAACTATACAAGTTAAAGAAAATAGAATGTTTGAAACTAACATGGTTATTTATTTTATTAAATAATTTTAACTTAAGTAATTATTAACTTATTCTAGTTACACTATGACTACTTGGATGTGGAACGAGTTTAGGTGTATCGAATTGACATTATTCACATCACTAAGGGGCCATTGTAAACTTATTGTATTGAATTTATTGGTTTTACTATTATAGTATTATGTGTTCTGTGTGTGTTTGTGTGTGTGTCAGTTTAATCAATGCATCGAAGAGGTCGTTATTTGATTTCCCTTTTAGTTTGTTTCGAAATGGGAAAAAACAAATAATATTTTGTATACAGTTCGTTGATTTCCGGTTAACTTTGGCAAAAAAATAATAGGTTCAGAATTATTTTACAGATATAAATTAAATTACTTTATACATCCTTTTCTTCCAACTTCTCCCCTAAAATAATGTCGCATCAATCAGCAGTATTTATGACCATTTATGCATACCGACAGAGTTTATGAACCATAGATAGGACAACAGTTACTGGTTTTATAAGTATTCGATAAAAGAGAATGTTCAGATTTTTAGAAAATATTCGGGAACGCACAGTAACATTAGTTGCAAATCCAATATCATATTTAGACGTTTTATTGGTTTCACAGTTTTTGAAATATAACTCTTTAAAAACCCGGTCATTGTTTTGTGGGCTTCCTGTAAATAATGAAAGAAATTATTTCATTACCTAGCCTAGTCGACCTAGCCTAGACCACGAACACAACTTGTCTTGATTTTCGACCACGTTAGGTTATTCCGTATAACCACCTAACAATTCGACCCAAAATATTCGGATCGAACACACAATATTATTAAGGGTATTCGTCGTGACACGGTTATAATGTCACTATATATCATAATACACTCGATACATATTTAAAATATTAAGGTTAAGGGGGAGGGTGGGATGAAACGGTATCTATTCAATTCGGAATTATGGTGTACAAACCCATATCAACATACCTTTATATTTTGACGTGTCACTCGGTGGTGTTTTTTTGTAAGCATTGACAATTATTATTGTTTTTTTTTTTTCTTTTGTTCATAATATTTTTGTTACATATTATTATTATTATTCGCTTATTGTGTAATATACCGTTGATTGATTTCGTATGCTGAACACGTTAAGTATAAAAAAAAAATATATATATACATCTTCCGCGATGTTCTTAGTCAATGATAACACTGTTTTTACGACGTTCTTTATAACACTCGCGTGCGCGAGAATGTCAACGTCATCACCAACCATAATTATAACAATAATGATAACAATAACAGTAGTATTGTAGTGTCGTTATTGTTATCATCATTTGGGAACCTGTCTGCGAGCGTATCAAAGTCGTCCGCGCAGTCTGAAGTACGTATTAACGATGACGTTTTTCTCGTAGCATCTTCGTCGTCGTGTGTTTTTTTTTTTTTTTCTAATTTGTTTGGCATTCCACTCGAAAAAAACAGTGCCGCGGAGAAAAACAACGGAACCGCCAACGCCGTCCTTTTTATCGCAGATTACGATATTGTACAATAATTATGAACACCCCGCCGTACAATAATACGAACAAGCCGCCGTACAATGGCACGCGCGTTCAACCGTACAATACGGACAAGCCGCCGTACGATATTCTGGACACGACGTTGCCGTACAGCAACAATGTTATTATGAACGCGCCGCCGTACGGCAACAGTAATGATATGGACACGCCGCCGCCGCCGTCGCCGTCGCCGCGGTCCCCGTTCGGATGGGGTACACTGGCCGCGATAACTCCCGTCTATTACGCGTGTAAACTGTTCGGGATTACACCGGTCGATTACGTCGACTGCAAAGAGATTTCGTACGAAAATCCGGTGCATTTCGTCGGCAGGACCCACGAAAACGGTGAGGATAATATTATTGTTGTTGTTATTATTATGATTATTAGATTCTACGTAAAATTATATTATTATACATTCGGGGACGGGTTCAAAACGGAAGCGTATATATAGACATCCGATACTCGATACGTTCGTATTCAGTGTACGAGCACAAGTATTTCAGTGCGAGATGTTCGGTACTTCCGTTTTATGTGTTAACATTTTTTAAATTTTCTTTGTTATGTAGTTTGATAGTCGCGATACATTAAAATTAAAATATTATCAAAACGGTTCACGCGTGCATTGTATTGAAAAAAAAAAAAACGGTTATTTATTTGAGATATTTCCGTTGAGTTTTCCTACAATCGCTTTCGATTTTCAATGTATTTTTCGGAAAGCCAGAAGAGAAAAAACACTCGACTTGCTCTCGTTCTTCGGGCACATATGAGCGAGATACTTCAAAATTAGTATTTCGTTACTAGATACATTCATTTTTGGCTTTGGTAAGTTGAGTCCCATTTTATTAATTTTAAGTAAACTGCGTCCCTCATGTAGAAATCAAATCTGTAGATTGAGTTTTTCGCTTAAAATAAATATTAATATCAACAATATTAATAATAATAATATCTAAAGAAATAATATTATCAGTAAAAGTACTTTGAAACTAGTCTAGTGTAATTACGTTGCATAACATAGTGGTGGATACAGTAGTTCCCTAATGGGTACGTGACATTTAAGTAACAATCCACAAACACTTGTTCCAACTAAAATGGCGTACCGATAATTCTGGACTTATCTCTGATCATTTTGTGTTCATATACGTGGGAATGATGTACATGTTGTAGACTTATGTAAGGCCGAGCACAGTGTGGTACAATCAGCGCGTAATATCAAGTTTACCGAAAGACGCCTTTCTCAAAACCGAGTTTTTGAAAAACAAAAAATTCTTCAAATTTTTTCTGAAATGCCGGGAGTATATACAGCTGAAACCTCCGAAATGGAAACAAAATTATTTCTTGGACTCTCGTGTCCAGTATTGTAATAAGAAAACATTTCTGAAATTGGGCGGGCTGCTAATTTTAAAAAAAAAAAAGTAGATTTTCCGTAAATTAATAAGACTAATGAGCAATAAATTATTGTATATACATTATGTTTTAAGGGTGTAGTAAATTTTCATTTAATATGAACTCATTTTATCTGAAAAATAAATATTTATACTTTTTAAACACTTAAAAAGTCGTTTTCAGAGACATTTCGAGGGTGGGGGAGAATTATAACCCTTTAATCCTTCTTGGCTACGTTTCACGCCGCATAAATTATAATCACATGGGGGATGATGACAAGTTTCAGAGACGACCTGCAGTGGATTCGTTACGGTTCTCAGAAAATGTTTTTTACAATAATTATTGATGTGTTCCCTTTTTATTGTATAGGATATAATAAAATTACAAAAAAAAGAAATCCTTAATTGAACTCAAAACCCGTCCGTCTACAAAAAAAAAAAATAAAAAGACGGAATTCATAATTTTTATCATAATATTTATAGAGGTTAAGTTAGGTGCGTTGTAATATTGCACGAACATAATAATATTATGCTCGCCAGTTTTCAATATAGAATATTTTATCTCGTTGTGGACGTGTTTTGATTTTAGCTTTAAAATCATATATTGGTTTTACTAAGATATTTATTTTTTTTTCTTCTAGCCTGTGGATACGTTTTTCCCTAGTAAACTTGATCAAGTTTGCATGTGTAACAACTTTTCTAAAAACTCAAGTATTCTAAATAGTACTTTAAATAGGTCATTTTTTGATTTTCGACGCCATTTTTTAAATAAAAGCACTTAAGTAGATAAGAACGAAGGAAAACGTTCAATTTTACGATTTCAATATCTTTTAAAAACACGGACGATATTTTCTACCATCAAAAATAATTTAATCGAAAAATCATAAGATACTTTTTTTGTTACCTTTTTGATTTACTTTCTAACGCCGTTATTGCCAAAACTTTTGAGCCACTTTTGAACTTTTAAGGAATTTTAATTTTTGGAAGTTTTTTGCTATAATTCGGTTATGAATACATGTAGAGACTTGAAAATTGATAATAATACTTACATTAAACTTACCTAGAAGTGGTAAAATTTCCAAATGTCGGACGGTTTTCTTCCTTTTTGAAATTTGTTTACAGTGGTACTATTTTTTTATTCTTTTTATACAGTAAACTACTTTTATCCTAGAAGACTTGCTTTGATGTATAAGTGCTGCATTTCTTCTGAAATTCAATTATATCTACTTTGTATTTACATACATAGGTTATTTTTTAATTTCCGAAACGGTATTTAAAATAAACCGGGAAAAAAATACGTTTTTTTTTTCACGATTTCGTTATTTAATATAAGTATCTACCACGTTTTCTAGCACAAATATGGCCCCCATTAAAAAACGACAAGTGACCTTTTTGTTGAATTATTAATCTTCTTTTTAATGATGCAGTTCTTTTTTTTTATTTTTGAATTAATTTTCATAATAATCGGGAAAAACTGTAAGGAGGTTAGGTTAAATAAATTACGGCACTTCAAATTATATATATTATCGAACTACGCTCAGAATCGTCTTTCGTCAGCAATGGTTTATTGTTGTTTACAGATATAAATGAAATAAAATTATGTATCCTATCTTCCAAACTTCTTATTTACAACGGTGGCCGCTCTCATCCCCAATATCAGCTCTTTTTTTTTGTTTACAATTATTATTTTTTCCATTTTTTTAATCGAGTTTACCAACAAAGCTTAATGACTGCATCACGTAGTTACCGGGGTATGTCTGTTCGTAGTGCGGATGGGATGCTTTCACGTCAGCAAAAACGGCATGGCCCTGTGGACGTTTCAGTGGACGCTGCAGATATGGACGGTTGTCCGGATGTGTTTCTACCTGGCCAAAACGGTGATGCAGCGGGACCGGATCGAGTGCTCCAAGGACAACTACTGTAGCGTGTTCGGAATGCTTCTGTCGCACACGGTTATCAGCCCGATCATAGTATGCCTGGTCCTAGCCCGGTTATCGCAGTCCGTCGACGTGCTCAATATGACCGCTGACCTGTTGCACAGGTACCGTTACCGGAGGCCGCACCTGTCTTTAAACGCGTACGCTGTGGTTATGTTCACCGCTGTCATCGTGTTGAAACTGGTCACTACCCTGATGACCTTAACTCAGAAGAACCCCGACCTCTATTACCCTTATTTCATCGCCTACATGGTACCTCTGGTGCTTATCAACCTCATCAGCATCTTGTGCTTCGTCACCCAACAGTCGTACGAGGACATTAACAGGTCAGTTCGTGCCGAGTGATTGATCAAGAAATGCTCGTTATTTCATGTTATCGAACAATTTTTCGTCAAAAACAAATATGATAGAAACATAATACCATTTTCTAGCTATGATTAATTAGCATACTAATTTATTTGTATTAGAACATTGGAATAGGTGTGTACCCAGATTTGGCTAGCCCACAATTGTTTTATGTTATAATGGATGAAGTTACGAAGAAAATACCAGGCGAAGTACTATGGTGCATAGATTTTGCAATGAAATCATTTTGATACAAGTAATTTCGGAAGAAGTAAATCAAAGGCATGAGAAACGAAGGAATAGATTAAGCATAAGTAGAATTAAAAAAAAAGATGGACATACTTTACACGTGGGTGGGCCACTGTTTTAGGTGTGAAGTTGGGAAGGTAAGTTTAATGGGGGGAGGGAATAGAATTTAATGTATATTTATACGCAACGGTTAACCATCACTAACAAAAAACGGTTTTGAAGGGATTTCGGTTAATAATGTTGTATTGTCAACAATATATATATATATCAAATTATGGCAAAATGATTATAAATGCATTATATATTTTTTTAATAATATTTGTTTAATATTGTATCTAATTTCCCGTTTTTCCTACGTTTTTTCCCATATTTTTTCCCATTTATTCTGAAAATCAAAAAAATGACTTCAATAAAGTACCACCTCAGTCAGATTTCTTTTCAGGAAAAGTGCTAATATTGTAAACTGGAGTAAAATTGCTAGTAGAAAAGTTGTTCATGGAAAAAAATTAATAGAATAAACATAGTAAGCCAATGCATACCTAGTTCCACTCAAAATCTAAAAGATCATCTAAATCATGAGTTTAAAGGAAGACTGCAAGTGGTTGACGGGACAAAACAAGAGTTATGACAATAATTTCACCGATTATGAAATTGTATAGACGTAGTTAGCCCTAATATGGCTACACTCGTACTATAATTATTATATGGCTTCCATTCGATCGGCTCGTGTATCTATAGTAATATTTTTTCTCCTATTCCGAACGTACCAAACTAATATAAACTATCCTCACAGTTTTCAATGAGTATTTAAAAATATTATTATTATTACTATTATTGAAATCCTGTAGATTCATCAGACTAAATCTATACACTAGCTTCTCAATTCCGAAAGAATTTTATTAGAATAAAAAATATTCGGCGAAAAATAATTTGACTATTCGTTGTTGGTGAATTGGCCATTTTTAAATAACCAATTACTAAAAAAATAGATAGGATGGGAAGATAAGAATTTTTATATAATTCCATATTTATAAAATATACCATAAGCTTCAGTATACAAATAGTACGTAATCACAACGAACCAATGCAAAAAACACATTAATAACAACTGAGTACAGAAATTGTTGCATATATGTTAATATATGTATAATAATAATATAGTTTCAAGTGACTTGGATTTATGTATTGTATTTATTACTAAATTATCATCAAACTGCGAACACTAGTAAACTAGTTATTATTATTATTAAAGTAATTTGTTTTATTCGATTATAATTAAACTTTTGTGTTCTGGTAGTTTTCGTACAATTTCTGCATTTATTTCAGTTTTTAATTTTTTAGTTTACATTTATGGTGACATTTCATTGGACAGTTTAATTTAAAGTCTCTTTTTACTTTTATGTATTTAAGTATTATTATATACCATTTCTATATAGATACGAAGAGTAATTTAAAACGAAAAACATTTTAATTTCTCTTTTAAATTTAAAAAAAATAAAAAAAAAATGAGCCAGTTAAAAAAAATAAAAACAAAGTATAAAAAATTGTCTGGGGCATTAATACTTAAAATATGTATTTATATTTTTTATTATTTATTCGTCCTGTAATACCCGTTCAATTATCTGCCTATTTATCGCTAAGTTCTTCAATTTGATTCTATAAACATAGTATAATATATCTGGCATTCCAAAACTTGACAAAGTCGTCATATGAAACTGCACACATTAAATATGTTACTTCCGATAGTCTCACTCTTGGTCTTTTGCCCACTGGGTTCTATTCCAGCATCGTTGCGTCCATGGTAACAACTGATCCTAGCTATAGATTATCAAAATTATAATTTAATATGATTACATGTCATTGTAGGGAACTAGAAGAACTATGCGAAGTGAGCTCAAAGACCGAACGGGCGTCACGGCTGATGACGCTAATGAACGACCACTGGTTTCTAGAAGACTACCTGGAGACGATGGCCGAAACATTCGGAGCCGAAATGATATTCATCACGATGGATATTTATGTACAGCTGTTGCTGTACGTGTACGTCGTGATCTGGGAATTCGTGGTTCTCGGGTTGTTGAGTAGCAGTCCGTACATTTATGTCAGCGGCATGATCGAGCTGAGCATCATTATTGGGAAATTCATTTACCTGTGTCACAGATGTGCCAGTGCTGTTGAAGAGGTGATTTTCTTTGATGATAATTTAAACCATCATCATTTGGGTAAACTTATACACTAATAAATAATAAATCATTAATAAATTATCTAAAAAAGCAACAATTGTTTCAGTTTGCTATTTCTATCCCTACATATTTTGATATCCCAAAGTTAAAAACTATTGCTAACCGATAAATTGCACACTCATATTTGTAAAAACTGACTAGGCTGAATATTTCTGCTTCTAGACAGCTCCAAAAATGTAAAAGTAAAAATATAATCCGAATATATGAAGATTTTATTGGACACGATCTCCAAGAGTCCGCCGTATCCGGATTTTTGACAGACGTTTTCCAATTTGCATTACTTTCTGTACTTGTCCTTTTTAATTTTTAACGTTATACTTGACTGACGTCTGTAACATCAAAAATCGCTTAGCTATGAGACGAAAAAATACATCGTATTCAGATAGTATACTTGAAAATGTAAAAAATCGTATGGTTTAGTTTATTAAATCCACGGTATAGAAATGTGTCATTAATAAAATTAATTTACTTGTAAAAATTACCCGTGAGTAAATGAGGAGAGGGGGTAAACATTTTACATTTTAACATTACTTTTAACGAACTTAGACGATCGTTCTATTTTTATTATCCCATTATGTGTAGGTAGGTATGAAAAATAAAATTTACCTTGATACGAGTAAACAATAATCGTATAATTGAACATTTGATTTCAGGGCAAAAGAGTAATATTTTATCTGAAACATTTGACCTCCACGGTGTCGGACGATACGTATTCTCAATCAATCGTTAGTATCAACACCATCATTATTACTTGTGATATAATGAAAACAGAACTATTTTCATTACGGACTAAGATAGAATGGACTGAAAACAACAGCCGTATCATCGGCCGCTTAAGGTTTACAATCATGAAGTACCAGTGAAAGGGGACGGGGAATTTACTAATGCAAGCACCACTTTCGGGGCTTGGTGGTTCGAAATGGTAAAGGATACTGTGATCTCTATTTTATTTTGGGCATTCCATGTAGTGTTGTTACAAACAACAAATCATTAAGAAATCACTAATTTTTCAAACGAAAAAAATTGACATTTAGTGAATAATATGAATAAAATAGTAAATTGTATTTTATTTTATTTATATCATTGGTCATGATAAATTTTAGATTCTGAATGGAGAGAAGAAATTCATGGTTTTAACAGTGATGTTTGTTAATATTAATTTCTTTTATCTGTGAACAACTTTTCAACCAGAAATACTGTTTCGATTCACAGTGATGAAACTTTTTCTAAAAGGAAATCTGACTGGGGGGTACTTTAAGGAGGTTGTTTTTTGATTGCCCTGGGAGTTTTATCAATATATTGGAAAAACCGGAAAACAAATGAGGAAACACGGGGAAATATTGAAAATATTGGTGATCACCGGACGCAATCGAAATTATTGATTTTTCGTTTGGGACGCAATCGGATGCGTACTTATTAAAAGCGAACGCAATAGAAATTTGAGAACGGTAAAAAATGGTCAAAAGGAACGCCACCGAAATTTCGTCGGACATAATCGACACACCCGATTATTCGTTTACCTGACTTTGGGAGGCAATCGACTGTCCCCGTTTTTTCCTGTCATTCTATCTTAGTTCTTGGCTTTAATTACATTGTGGTTGATTATTTTTATCGAGTAATGCTATAGATAATGCAAACCTGATACGGACATGTTAGCTTGTCAGTAAAGACCGTTTGTCACCATAGTCTTTCGTATTGTATATATATGTATATGACAACAATTATGTATGTAATATTGATTCACTTATTTGTCTTTGCAGTAACCATACAAAATAATGTAAACAAACGGTCTCACTCGTTATCAGTTCAGAACCACAAACAATAGTGGCCCCAGTTATTTAAGGTATTTTTCATTTGTACACAAATAACGTGACGAGATGGCGATTGAAGTAGTTTTATAGACGACGATTATAAGTAGACAATTTGTGGGTTTTTTTTTTTTATATCTGTGGTTGAAGTTGTTGACCAGACTAGGTTCAAACATCGACATCGACTATGATTACCTGTTTTAGCGAATTTTGTCTTGCGTGGTGTACAACGTCACCCGGTAGGTGATTTTTAAATATCCCTCGGAATTTTTACCGGAAAAAAGTAAAATCGATCAAACATATAGGTAATAATAATTTTTTCCGTTGAATATGTCGGTAAACGTTCTTTTTGCAAGTATACGTATTACATGGCATAATCGAGACTGGTGTAAATTTTAAAGATTGAGTGGCTTTGATGTAGGTACACGTTTTCGGTTATTGTTATATGAAAATAATAATATGTTTTTATATTGAATATCGTTCGGTTATAATGGTGGAAAGTCGAAATAAAAATATGTAAATTTAAATAGTCTTCCTTATTCGAACAACAGTATAGGTATCTATATTAATACTTAACGTTCATTGCGATCAGAAGCCGAACTATGTTGACAAAATTATATTCCGTTAACAATATTTTAATAATATACACATGTTTTTCGAATTAAGTGGACCCACGGAGTTAAAATATATTATTATGTACTGGTGGCAACCATTAATAAAATCATATCAATTTTAGAAATGTCACGTTTTTTTTTTTCAACACGGGACGCTCAAAGGGTTTCGCGTTTCCGCGTGTGACAACGACGGTAAATCAATAAGTCAGCCGACGAATCGGGCGGTTGTGTTTGTAGTGTCATATTCAGCAAAAAATTACTCTTAAAATCGACATGAATAGTATTTTCGTCTAATTTATTCGAAAAAGAAAATGTGAATTTGTTGTTCAACTTTTAATAAAAAGAAATCGAAACAATTTTATTGAATTGAAAACATTGAATTTAATTATACTTATAATACCTAATCTTACATACATATTTATCTTTTTTTTTTTAACTGAATGACGAGATTAAAAAAAAAAAACAATTAAATTCATAGTGGTTATGAAGAACTCAATATAACTGTAATTATCAGGGCTAAGAAATTGAACTGGCCAAGTCATGTAATCTCATTGGCAAAAATTGCTGCGCTAAATTCGAAACCTTAGGGAAGAAGCTAAAATAATGGCAAATATAGCATGGACTAAGTAATAGTGGCTGGACAAACCCAGGAATACGAGATTTTTTGGGAAGCATAGGAATTGTAAGACCTACAAGAAGTTGGTATTGATAATGAATACACGGAAAGAAGTGTATAATGTTATGTTGAGCCTAAATGGCCTATATGTATAGCTTTAGAAGAAAAACCAATTGGTATTATTTTTATTTGTTTTGTTTTTTGGTTCATATAACCCAAAACGTGAAATTTATATTTAGTTGTTTTACCGCATTAACCATAATAATAACTATACGTAATAATATAAACGTTATATTGTTATTTTGCGTTTTCGCTTCGAGTGTATTATTTCAATTTATCTGTGATGTCATCAGAGTTTAAAAAAATCGCGTGGAACTGCAAATAACACGGAATGTACAAACAGTACTACTCGTAGTATTGTATATAAATTAATTTTTTTAGTATTTTTTTTTTCAGCGATAGAAGTCATTAGTTATTCCAAGATATTTTTTTTCTCAGAAAATATTTTTCGGTTATTAAAAATGCTCCAAATTGTTCACGTCACGACGTACCTTTAATGATATTGAATTTTCATTTTCACCTACTTTATTTTAATTTTTTTTATGAGGATCTCAAAGTTTTTTTTTAAAAATCACGAAAGCGACAAAAATTAAAGGATACATTGATTTTATTTTTGTTTATTTCCAGGTTATCTAGGCTTCAATAAGATAAGAACACGACAATACGAAATATATAACGCTTTAAATTATTTATCTTTGCTAAAAACCCGAGTATAAACTAATAATGATCTTATATTCAATATATTCCACACCCTTCACCTACTACAATGGCTTTAACTGTGGCGCAAAAAATGTTTAGATTTATTTAATATCTAATGTCTACGATTATTCTGATAAAGTTTATTGATAAATATTAATTATATTTAATCTTTTTAGATAAATCGTTGTTCTGATATTTACATGTATTACCATTGTTGCAGCTGAGGTTGTTCACATTGCGCGTCAACTGTCGTTCGGTACAAGTCACGGCTTCTGAATTTTTCGACGTAGACCTATCGCTATTGTTTGCGGTAAGTTTTAGAAGAGGATTAGGGTAATTTTTTTGTGAATACCCACTGCGTGTTACCAATAAGCGGTGAATGGGGGGTTTCGAGTTTCGAGTTTATAATCAACAGTGTTGATCTAGGCTTCGAAATTAATGTAACTAATACCGACAATTAGGTTTTACAATAGCTATTATATAAATTTAGGCGTAGTATTTATGGCTGAAACTATGTACTATTGATGTTATCTGACTGTTCATAGCGCTCAACAATAAAAATAATTTTAAAATGTATATTTTTAAAGAATGGCCTAGTAATCCGTAAAACACCAGCTTTCCTTGTTTTCCTCGCTTATTGGTAATACTTATGTTAACATTTTATCAAAATTCATTTCTAGTCCTGTGGTTCTTAGTTCGGGGTATTAACGAAAAAAATCGTTTATCATTTTCACAGACCGCTGGCGTCGTTTTGGTATATTTTTTGGTTCTGGTGCAGTTCCAAATGGAAGGTTACAAAGAAATGTTGGAATCCAATATCACAGGCAGTAACGTTATAACAGTCTGTCATTCGTGGCCTTGTCTTGAGACCTCTTAGAAAATAAAATATTATAATCGTCATAGAAAAACTATACCTATATTATGTAACAAATATTATTATTATACAAGTTATTAGGCGTTTATCTTTTATTATTCACAACGATCACAACGTTAAAAAAAAAAATTAGCTAGTGATAGTTTTATTGTTGTAAGGCATATTAATAAAATTTTTGAAAAAATAATAATTATTGTGTTTAAGTTCGCAACAAATAGTATATTATAATAAATCAAGCACCAAATTGAAATCTAATATCTACCATTTGAATAAGAGCAACAGGATTAGAGGAAAGATTTTAAAAATATCCTTTAAACGGATTATATAAAAAGGTAGGTACATTTATCATATTGTGCAATTTTGTTTTTTTTTTAACAAATTTTCGGATAGATTTGCATCTGACAAAAACATGATGTCTTATTTTGGTTATTATTTTAATTATTTTAGTTATTAGGTTGGTTTACAATGTTTAACTTTATTCTTCTATCGGTCTTCAAAAGTCACTTTAATTCAGTGTAAGTATTCATGCCCGAATTTTTTTACCAAAGTTATGATATTCATGAATTTCGTGAGTTGGCTTTTTGTCTCTCTGGAAAACTCTGTGACATACTCATATTACTATGGTCGAGGAGCTCGAATCGGTAAGAATAGTAATAAAAATAAACGTAGGAGGAAAGAGCTGGAAAGGAAGACTGTAAAAGAGGTAGTTGGATGCGTTTTAGAATGATATGAGAATAGTCGGTATATGAGAGGCGGGAGATCCGGTCAAGCGAAATTTTAGAACGAGGGTTGCCAATCCCAAATATTTGGGATGAAGGCAAAGGAAAAGAAGACAATAATTGATTGAATGTCGAGTGCTTTTATCCATACAATTCCTTCATTATAGTGACGTCATGGAGTTCATGCATTGAAACGTTGAAAGTACGGATATGGCGTTTAGTATGAAGAGGATGTTCAATTTAATCAAATTAATGTATAGCCAGGGCATAAAATATTAAAACAATTCAAGCTATGATTAAAATTCTTAAACTATTTTTAAGTTTCATACAAATTGCTCTTGTGTTCCTGTCCGCATATATACCTATATACTTTTGCGATATTTTTATTTCAGAAGTGTAATAATGGTTTGAAAATTTAACCACTCGATAGCGCCACCTATTTCAAAAAGGATTTTATCAGAATTACTAATTTT